ACATTTCACTAAAATATTACTAATTTAAAAGCTATGTTTTTTTTTTTCCCTTTTTGTCTTTTTTCGTGACCGGCTACGGGATCGCAACCCTCAGTGTTGCTCCCGCACCTTGCTCAGCCAGTGAGCGGCCGGTCTGTATGTGGGATCCGACCCCTCGGCGGGAGTGCCGCCGCGCTTCCCAAGCGGCGCACTGTAGCAGTGTGCCACCGGGCCGGCCCCCTGCTGTTGCTTTTTTTAAATGTATGTATATACAGGTATTATATTCAACACTACACAGATAAGCACCCCACAGAAATGTACAATCAATTATGTTTCAATAAAAAGGAAAGCACTAATAAAATAGAAAAAATGTGTGTATATACAGGTATTAAAATGTGTGCATATACAGGTATTGATATTCAACACTTCACAGATACATACAATCATGTTTCAATTAAAAACACTAGGGGCCGGCCCGGTGGCACACTGCTACAGTGCGCCGCTTGGGAAGCGCGGCGGCACTCCCGCCGAGGGTTCGGATCCCACATACAGACCGGCCGCTCACTGGCTGAGCGAGGTGCGGGAGCAACACTGAGGGTTGCGATCCCGTTGCCGGTCACGAAAAAAGACAAAAAGAAAAAAAAAAAAAAAAACACTAATAAAATAGCAAAAAATAAAAAGTGTGTGTATGTGTATATATATATATTATATATATGGTTTTTTTCTTGGTTATAAAATGATTGTCTATTTTAGAAAACTAAAAATACAGAAAATATGAATAAAATAATTAACAAATTTCACCCAGAGATAATTACTGTTAACATTTGGTATATGTCTTTAAGTCCTGATGCTTTTTTGAACAATCTTCTATTCTGCAGGACCTTTCCTTATCTAACTGTGTTAATTCCTAAAAATAACTGGGAATTGAGAACTAGAATAGAGACTCAACAGTACCAGGTCGTAAATGAACTAATATGCATGCTATTTTAGCCTGTAAAATGGGCTGGAACTCACATGGGCTGTGAGTTTTTCTGGAACATCCAGATTGGTTTTCCTCTCTTGTTATAGTGGCTTATTACATGTGAATCATATCAGTAACATGCTAATCTTGTAATTTCCTGATTCTCAATAAAAAGACATTTTATTGATTGAATGGTCAACAGTTCAAGGTCTAAGGCAATAATTATTAGCAAGCAGTATAAATATTCCAGACTATCCAGTGATACCTTTAACCAGTATCACACCTCTCTTTTCTGGAATTCCTTTATAGCGGTCATTATCAGGTAATAATTAACAACAAATTATACCAGTCTAATTTCTTTGAATCATTATATCTTACCTGACGAATCCAGATCCAACAAGCACCCCAGCAATGCTCAGCAGAGCCACTACACTGTTAACTAAGTTTGGATTTTGGATGATACCAAGTAGCACAAGAGTTAGAAATTCACCAATTAAATGGGGGGCCAAGAGAGCAGCAGAGAAGTATCCAAATCTGGCAGGCTCAGGATATAAGCCCAGAGTCCTAGAAAAACATAAAGTCTTTAGTTTCCTCCCCAAGGCTTATCATTTAAGAAAAATACCACACTTGCCTTCTATGAATAAACCCTTGGTGGTTAGTGGGTGGAAGGAGTTTGCAGGGCACCCAAACCCTGTTGAGAACAGAGGTTTTGGGGACAGAGCCAACATCTGAGGACATTTATTACCACAAATTGTTTCTGTTGGCTCTAACTCAATGTGAGCCGCTTTTTCCCTTTTACAGCTCTTTGGGCTCTCGAAGGAAAGTATTAAATTACTTAGACAAGTCACAAGTAACTGCAATAAGTAGGGTGTTGAACTGTCCAGGCTTCTTCATAAATAACCATGTTCTGCCCAGCTAGCACCATCCCTACCCTAGCCTAGGGGCTCACCTAACCTGCTTCTCAACATCTCCTTCCCTGTTGTACGGGATGATATGGTATTATCATCCCACCTGTGGGATTACTACCAACAGGAAACCCTCAGTGCTTTCATCCCCAATCAGATTAGCCCTCCGCGGGCCCACTCCATTCCATTCCTGTCTTTCGTTCTACCGACCCCTTCCATTGATTTGACCCTCATTTTCTGTAAACAAACTGAGCATGCCCCTTTCCTCTTACATTCCTTTCACTAAATTACATTACCCTGGTGATAGCATTAGACATGGCCCCTCTTTATTCCATTTGTAGAGTAAGGAAAAGAAGTTGGCATGTCTTATACCCACCCCACCCTACCACTCTTCAAAGCCATGCACCTTTCCTCCTGGGCAAATCACGAAGTTTCCTTATTCTATTAATTCCCTTCCCCATTGTAGCCTTTTGTGACTTTTAAAATATTCTCTCACCTTTGATGATTTTACAGCATCTGAACCAGGATCATTCTTTCCACTCCTATCCACTATCATTTTCCTTAAGGTCTTTAAGCTTCTCGGTGAGCCATCAACATCAGTGTATCCTAATTAGCTAATCTCAATTCCAGAGGCTCCATCTACCTAATCTTGATCACTCAAGACTTAGATAATACTTAGACTTGAATTTAGATAAGACTAAATACTGGACTTAGATAATACTCAAAACTGTTCCACTTCCAAGATTTCACAGTGTCCAGGATGGCCTCAAACTCAGGGTCTGGCTCCTCTTCCAGGGAGACATGGCCATCCCTGTTCAGACCCACAGTGTCCAGGACACTTCCAAGATTTCAGATTCTGAACACTGCTCCTGTCTGATCGTGGCCTGTCTCCCATTTCCCCAATGCCTCACTGCCTCAGATCCTTACCCCCTTCTGTCATTCTTTGCCTTATCGATCCCCACCTCTGGGGACCCTGCTCTGCCACTTAAGCAATTGAAGGTGTGTTGAACATGGCATATTGCTGTACCGATCAGATCCACTCTGCCACTTTGCCTCAGCTGACCCCTAAGGTTTCCTCATTGCATCTTGGGTTCGAATGGCATGTCTCATCATGGCTGATAGAAACCTCTATATTAAATTAGCCCCGCTCCCCAATTTTAATCTCTCTCCCCAGTGCTTGGCAGATGAATTCACCTCTCATTTTATGAATTTTTTGCTGTCTTTATCTTCTCTTTCATTCTCTCTCTTTCCCCTCTTTGCCAAGTGTGACCCTATCTACCTGCATCCTTGATCCCATGTTATTCTGATTCCTCTGACCCTACCTTGGTTTACTCTGGAAACTTGATCTGTGACTTATCCAAATTTTGGCTGTATTTTCATCTTCTCTCAATCTAATGTTTTTTGATGGTGTTATTTACCACATCCTAACACAACCATTCTTTGAGCCTGACAGTTATTTAGGCAACTGCTTGCTCATCATCCTACCATACACTGCCAAGCTTCTCCAACAGCACCTGCTGCCTTGTGAGCCTGCTTGCACCCCCACCACTCCACAGAAGCTCTTTTGTGGAAGATTGCAATGACCCCTCATCATGGCCTCACCTCCTTAACCTCCACAGTACTGAACGGGTTTACGAACCTCCTCGAAACTCTCGCCTCCTCATCTTCGTCGATGCTGCCCAACCCTGCTTCTCCTTTACCTCCCTGACCACCCCATGCCTTCTCCCTTGGCTTGCTGTCCTCTTCCCAGCCTCTGAATGTGCCCGTCTAAAGGTTTTACACTCAGACTGCCTCCTCCCTGCACCTGGGCCCCACATGCCCCTGGGTCCCAGCTCTTCAGAGCCCTCTTCTTAGCCGAGGCCCTGTGGTGAATGTGGGACATGCTGTTCCCTGGCATATGTAGACTTGCAGCTTGCTCTTAGGTCCCAAGCAGCCTGCAATTGGATTATTTTATTTATAATAAATTTCCTCAAAGACAGGCATTGTACTCGACATTGGTGAGCAAAATGTAGATCCTCCAGAACAGAGAACATGGAGTAGTTCATCCCAGAGCTCTCTCTCCCCGAGTCCCACTGGCCCTCCCTGAGTCATGCGGGCCTGGCTCCCGGTGAACTGAATGCCCCTGAGCACCCTTACCAGTAGCTCACACTGCTGAAGAGCACAATGGCAATGATGCTGAAGGGGAGGATGTGCAGCATATAGGCCAGCAGCATCTGCCACTTCTGGTACAGGCCGTCTTGACTCTCCTGGTCACTGACAGCTCGCAGCACAGGAACTGGGTATGGAAGGCAGGTTTCAGAACAGCTGGCACCACACAGCTGAGGGAGGGAGAGCTAGCTCAAGCTGAACTTGAGCTCTGTCAGGGCTGGATGGTGAGGACCAGCTGGGTGTGGAAGGAGGGAACCTGCCATCCGTAGGGCAATAAATACTCCCCACCCCAGAAATCTACACTCTACCTAAATTGCAATACAGCTGCAAAAGATAAAATGTGTTTCCTTCTCTCTAAAGTTGGGGGGTTGTCACCAATTCAAGAAAAGCACATCCAAAAGGGGCATGAATGAGTGATTCAAAGCCCTCTGTCCTCTGTGTGTGCAGGATCAGGGCCCCTGCAGCAGCCTGCATTTGGCATTGCTCTCAGGGGAGAATCTGGTAGATGCAGAGACTTTTCACTCCCCTCACATCCATCTCAAGGCCCTCCTTGGCAGAAGCATTGTCCTTCCCTCTATTCTCTGAACTTAGTGCTACATTTTGGGAATCCCATTGATAACCATTTTCCTGTATCAACTGTAACATGAGGCAACTAGATGTTGCTTCTGGAGTCCCATGGAGTTTGAAAATAAGGTGCTGGTTGTCCTAAAACAGGCTCCAAAAAGAAACCAGTGTTGCGAAGTTGGCCTGGTGGCTGGGGCCCCATCAGTTGTGCATTTTAATGGTCAAGATGAGATACCAGGAATGATCTTTGGAAAAACTCTTCCCAAACTCTACCCCACCAGCATCTCATAACTTTGTGTTTCCCTGGACCCTGAGACTCTCAGACAGATCCACCTCTAATTCACATTCAGGTGTTAGTAACTCAATAGTTACCTTTCCCCAGAGAGAATCTCAGGACAGGGCCAGGTTTAGCTCAGAGAAATACTTACAATGGTGGCCTTTTGCAAGGTGGCAGCTGGAGAAGGGAGATATTGAGGGAGAAAGGATTGCACCTCTTGCACGTGGGCACTTACAGAGAGTCACAGCATTGAGCATGCCTGTGTACGGGGTGGCGCCCACAAACTGGTACAGGATACCAACGCGGTCCTGGACGGCACCCGTCAGCACATCGTTCTGGACCCGTAGGAGGAAGAAAATGATGAACAGACCCATGATCAGATTCTGAACGAGACGCATAATCACTGCCAGCTTCTCTCTCAGTGAGTTTTTCATCACTCTCCTGAAAACCAAACACCCCTATTTTAATTCCTTTTCTTTTATTATCAGCGGATGTCTAAAGACTAAAACGGGCCTTACATCTGTGCAGCTCTTACCTCAAGAGAACACCCAGTTTAGAGAGAGCTCCAGGAGATTCTTTGGTTTTGAAGGGAACCATTGGCAATGTTTTGAGGTGTTTTGTTCTTTCAATATTCTCCAAAGTTTTGTGGCAAATTGCTGATTCTTTGTAGGCAGATTCAATCATCTGGACTCTCTGGTAGGTTTTTATTTCCCGTTCTTTGCTTTGGGTATCCACTGATGTCAGATCCACTAAAAATTTTTCCCGAAAGATATGACCCATGTGTTTTTTAATGCACATATGTATATAATGGATAATATATGTTCATCATTAATTCAGTAGTACTACCCATAATACCTCATTCCATCAGAATAAAACCTGTTGTTAATGTGCACCTATAAAATCAGATTTTTTTTTTTTGGCAGCTGGCCAATATGGGGATCCTAACCTTTGACCTTGGTGTTATCAGCACCATGCTCTAATCAAGTGAGCTAGTCAGCCAGCCCCAAATCAGAATATTTTAAAGCTACCTGCCAAGACCATGAAGATCCCACTGAGACAGTCTGGAAGAACTCAAAACTCAGCTACTTTTTCTCTCGAAAAGTAAAAGTGCACCAATTTGTTTGAGAGCAATCCCCCACCTCATTCTGGTAGGTCATCTATGGCAAGTTAGTTGACCCAGCCACATTAATTCCCTGAAAAGTCAAAAACACCAAAACAAAAGCAAAAATAAAACCCACTAGGGCTTGTGTCATCTAGGCAGAAAACTGAGATGAGAAAATTTAAAAAACATTTATGATGGGAAATGTGAAAAAAAGAACTTACTATAGAAGTCAAAAGGGTTTGAATGTTCAGGACAAGGGTAACCACAGTCACTAAAGAAATCAAGCAATTCCACTGGTGTGCCGCAGAAAACCAGCTCTCCGAAGCTGAGGATGGCGATTTTGTCAAAGAGCTGATCAGACAACAGATGGTGTTAGTGTGTGATCCAGTCACCATGCCCCTATGCGAAACACATTTCCAAGCAGCCGGTCCCTTGATTACCTATACCACGTGTCAGTGTTCTTAATGCGTCCATTGGAGACGCTCAAAGTGCAGTCCTATATTTGTCGGCCTGGGCTAGCACTGCAGATCCCGAGCCCCAGCATCACATCTGGCGTAGAGGAGAACTAGGGACTTGGCTTAAGTCCCAGCCATGCCAGCGAGTGACTATGGCCAAGCAAGCTCGGGTGGTTTTTTGTTTTTGTTTTAAATCTCAGATCCTCATCTATAAAAAGATAATAATAGCTAACTAAAAGGATACTGGGAGAATAAAGTGAGATTTTTTTTTTTCCTTTTTGTCTTTTTTCGTGTCCGGCAACGGACCGCAACCCTCAGTGTCGCGCCCGTACCGGACCGGGACCGGCAACGGGATCGCAACCCTCGGTGCTGCGCCCGCCCCTCGCTCAGCCAGTGAGCGGGAACTGGTCTGTATGTGGGATCCGAACCCTCGGCGGGAGCACCGCTGCGCTCCCAAGCGGCGCACTGTAGCAGTGCGCAACCAGGCCAGCCCTAAAGTGAGATTTTTTGAAAGAAATCTGTGTGACTTAGTGAAAAAACACAGCCTTTGAAGCCAACTCAACCCTGAATGCCAATTCCAGCTTCTTAGTGACTGTGATATTGGCTCACTGTTGAATCATTTCCAAGTTTCACTCTTTCCCTCTGTAAGGTGGATATACTGACACTGACCTCATAGGATTGTTGTGAAGATTAAATAGGCCAGTGTATAGAACATTTGGTACACGGTAGGTGCTGAAAGAAATGAGTGTCCATCCGTTGCCCTCCCATATCAGGAGCTGTCAGCTCCAATTGCTTTAGTGCTAATCTTTTCCCTGCCCCCATGATTCCCAGCTCAACACACCACATACTCACACTCAACCAGCTGAGCAGAACAAAAGATGCCCCCCATTACCTGAAAGAGCTCAGAGCGGGGCTGGTGGATGGTGAGGATCACAATGCGGTTCCTGCGGGCCAGCTGTGCTAGGAGGACGATGATATGGTTCGCAGTCATGCAGTCCAGGCCTGTGGTCGGCTCATCAAGCAGCATGACCTCTGCCAGCAAAGAGGGGTCAGACTTCCCAGCAGCTGCAGAACCCAGACTCCATGCATAAACTCAGAGTTTTGAACAATCCCTTATTGAACTGGCCTGCCCCATCCAAATAGGGAGGGTGAGAAGTAGCCACATGCAAACTGGCTTCCAGCCTGAGCCCAGGAGAAAGGCCCAAACCTGGGAGGGCCAAATGCCCAGCTCCAGAGCACATTTGGCCCTTAATCCTCAAAGGGCCAGGAGAGCAACCAAATCAGACCTCTAACAGGGTTCTATGGACTATTTGGGCTCTGTCCAGGGAAACCTGATGGGGAACAAGTGCTGGCACCAAGTTGTTTTGAAAAAGCTCAGAGGAGGCTGTTTAAAACAACATGACCCCATTTCATGTCTGCAGACTCTCCAACACAATCAGAGCCTTTGTCTTGAAAAAAATTCTGACCCAAGAAACAAGGTCAAAGATGGGGCAGGCATTTGAGTTATTTAGACGGTTTAACTGTAGCTTGTTTCTACCCCAAAAGTGACAAGGACTCTCAAGAGCCTCCCTCTTATTTGCCTTCCAGTGACCAAGCACCATCTGAAGAATAGGCAGTCTTGTTCTACTGCAGTGTAAAGAAAGAATCCAGATGCAGTATCTCCTCTCCCAGGTGCATATAGGTGGTGAGGTTTCCCCAGGTGGTGGGGGAGATGACCAACCAGGCCGGGGAAGGCAGGGGACTGGCTACTCCATCTTGATAGATCCTTCCCCACAGCATATACACTTTTGAGTGTATCACTCAGATTCCTACTTTAATTCCTGCCGTTTCATAAATAGATGTAGTCATACCAAAACTCACTAGCTTTCCCCAGCAAACACAGTGGTACTCCTCTGATAAAAAGTAGGGATGAGCAGGGCAGGGCGCTATATTCATGCAAGACCCTAATGGAACACATATGCAATGCTTCCAAGTCCAAGAGCTATTTTATACTTGGACGATGGAATAGCATCTGGAAATGAACTATACAGCATTTCCAATAAAACTGGGTCCCCAGCTTGTAAAACCTCAGTGATTTCAGTTCTGCATAAACCCCTTTCCAAATGGGGACTGTAAGAAAGGGTCTGAAGTATCTGCAGACACATGGGAGATGCCCAAGCAGCAGTATGGGGTCTCACTTACTGGGATTCTGGAGGAGCTGGGCTGCAATGGAGACCCTACGCCGCTCACCGCTGGAAATTCCTCCCAAATTGTAATTACCAATCAGTTGGTCTGCCACGTGGCTCAGACTCAGCTCTGCCATGACCGTTTCCACCTAGAGGAGACACAAAGTCCAGGAAGCCTGGGTGTTATGGTGGCTACAACTGCAGTTCATGGGCTGGGGACGGCATGCAAGAGGCAACACTCCTCCCTAGAATGTACTCCCTGGAAAGGGCCACTTTCAGACATGCCACACACTGGGGAAGCCTGTTATAATATAGTCCAATTTAGTTTAAATTATGATTTAAACATAAATATAATACACGTGTCAGATTTAAATAAATAATATAAACCTTTTTTTAAACCCCTAGAGCAACAACAACTGCTTAATCTTGAGTTAGTGAAATTCACCAGGAAACAATGGATATTTCATTGAACTCCTATTCTCAGATGCCACAGTCAGTCCAGCCTGTCCAGAAAAATCCCCCAAAGACATAGTTACAATCTAGCTTATTTTTCTAAGTGTTTGAGTTTTGGAACTTTATTTTAATAAATGCTTTGTATATTTAAAAAAATTTAATTTGATTCAAACTAAACTTGTTTTGCCCTTTGTAACCCAAATACACCCTGGAGTCCCATATGATCCAATATAACTGTGGTTTTGCATCAAAGAACTATAAACCAGCTATCAAAAGTAATTAAAAGTAGGCTGGCTGGTTAGCTCACTTCGACAGCATGGTGTTGATAATATTAGGTCAATGGTTCAGATCCCCATACAGGCCAGCCATCAAAAAAAAGTAATTAAAAATAATTCCAATCTTTACTTGAATATCATTAAGGACTTTAAAGGGGACCAATTTATAACCCACAGCTATACTTCTTAAAATTCTCTTTCCTCCAATTTTCATCACTACTTAAACCCTGCAGCTCCCTGGAGCCCCTCTCTTTTCTCCTCGTTCTCAATTCCCCTATAGCAACAACTACTAACAAAACCATTTACTGACATTCTAATCAAGAAGGTTGGCCTTTTTCTTCCCTCTCTCTCTTTCCTTCTTCCACTCTCTTCAGAGACCTGTTCAAAAATCTCCATTTCTAGTCCTCCCCTTACTGATTACCCCATCTGCATAAAACCCTGGGGTAAAGCAGACAGAAAGGGACTGAGAATACTTACATGGCCATGAGTTTTGTTCCCTTATACCCCTACTGAGGTTGTATTACTTTTATAATTAAAAAGCAAAAACATTGCATTAAAAAACAACATCAAACTAGATTGGAATAAAAGGGGATGATTTATGGAACAAAATGCCAGAAGAGACAGAGGGTGGGATCAACAACACAGATGAAGCTTTAGCCAAAAGAAGGGACACATCTGAAATAGACAAGAAGGAATAATGGGAAAGTAAAATCATATGCTATGTTCTGGTAGAAAGAAAGGTCTCCTCTGCCATCAGAGTAGAAGGATTCTAGAATTGAGCTTTGCTTTGCTTTGGTTGGATTTATGCCCTCACCAGCCAAGGCAGATTTCTGAGCCTCCTTTTACCTTTCTACAACATCAAGAAAGGAGTAAGCTTGCCCATCTGGCTCAGAAAGGATGGGCAGAGAAGACATTTACTTAATTCATTTCACCCCAGCAGGAAGACTCGCCCATACTTTGCAATCACCATTGGCAATGGACTTCACAGTCTTTGAAGGGACCATCGGGATCATCAAGTCCAACTCTCTCTATGCTCTGTGCTTTCACATACCTGATTTATTCATCACATCCACTCCAGGAGAGATGCATTATTATTCTATTTATTATAGAGGAGAGAACAGATTCTCAGAGAGGTCCATAACCTGTCCAAGGTCCTGCCATTGGCAAATGGCAGAGCCGGGATTGAGAGTGGGACCATCTGGGCTCTCTCAGGTGGTCCACAAAGACAAGGTTTAGCTGATAGCCCACAGCCACAACCTGCTCATGTCAGCCACACTTTATTTTCAAGTTCCTCCAGGGACAGAAGCAGATCTGCCGTGCTGTCTCCTCTGTTATTACCAGCACTTCCTTCTCACTAATTGACTTCATCAGGATTTTAAACCCTGTGGACGGGATTTGCTCAGAAAGGACTCTGAAGCAGGGAGAACCCTGTGCTATCAGCCTTTGCAGGACATCTATGGGCTGCCCATGCCAGGGAGAGGGACCATTCACTAGAGGGGCAGATTTGCCGTCAGTCAATTTCAAGGAACCGGTGAATTTTCTGAATATTTATGCAAATATGTCCATTTCCTGGGTTAGGGCTCCAGTGCTGTTCTCAGATTCTCTCAACGGGATGTGTGGTGTAAATGGATCACTAACTCAGAAGAATGTGTTCATGAATTCATTCCTCCCACCCAATACCAATGGGGTTTTCTCCTAGTCATTTTAGAAGAGAAATACTAAGGCAAGCAGAGAGAAAGCCTGCAGAGGGGCTGTGTGTGCTGGCTCCTCACCCGCCCCTCATTGTCAGGGCCACCAAGCCACGTGAACATGCCTGTGCACATCGAGCCTCCCATGGGCTGAACTCTGACATCCATTTCTCAGACTATAAAGGGGATCAGGGAGGCATGGTAGGGCTGGAGGGTCTGGGTCCCCATCCCAGCTCTGCCATTCCTGGTTGTCTGATCTTAGTCTCCTGGGCTGTCAGTTTCTTGTTTTGCAAGGTGGAGATAATGCCTCCCTCATAGGGTTCACGTCAGAGGAAATGAGATACTGTGTTTGCACAAGCCCTGCCTAATGTCAGCCAGACAAGAGAGCTCAGAGTACAGCCTAGTGAAACAGCAAGAACCTTGCACTTCCTTCTCGGTACTCTAAGGTAAGGCATCTTTCCCTGAGGCTGACTGATGGTCCTTGAGGGCAAGACCCCTGGCTAAGGCCCCTCCAGAGTGAAAGTTACATCCCAGAATTGCCCAGAATTCCCAAACAGAAGAATGCCGTTTATTCACCTACAGCACTACAACAAACAAGCCTGATGCCCAGAAAGCTGTGCATCTTTGAAGCTGGCACATCTGCCTGTCCCAGGCCTTCACAGTCTATGCAGAAATGAGGCAATGTTTCCAGGTGAGTTTCCAGTGGGTTTACCTGCAGCTACTTCCAAATTGGGTACATTAAAGAAACACATTGGAATCAAGAAAGAGTTGACAATTCAATAGTTTTTCTTCATTGACTTACTCTGGTTTGATGAGGCACATTCAAGATGCCTCAAAGCAAGCTGAGAGAAAAATCAGTGGGGAAATAATCATATCTGCTCAAGCACAGAGCTTGCAAAACAGCACTGTCCTACAGAAAGAACGCAAGCCAAATACAGAATTGAAATATTTTAGTAGCCATATGTTTACAAGTAAAAAAAAAACAGGTGAATTCATTTTAATAACATAATATTATTTACGGCCCAAATATTATCATTTCAGCCTGGAATCAGTATTTTTAAAAATTCTTAATGAGACGGGTTCACATTCTGTTTTTCCAGACTAAGTGTCTAAAATCCAGCTCGTATTTTACACTTTGCAAGCTCATGTCACTGTGGACTAGGCACTTGTCAAGTACTCAAAAGGCACATGTGACAAGTGCATGCCGTCTTGGATAGCCCTAGAGTGAGGGGTGAAGAGCCAAGCGGAGGCAAGAGAAGAGGGGTGCAAAGCCACCCCGGCGTGACGAGTGTCTCGGGTTTTGTCCCGCGTGCGCCCCACGCCACGCTGAGCACGGCGTCACCCACCTTCTTCTGGAGGTGGCCGGGGTATTCTGGGCGGATGGCCAGCAGCGCCGTGTAGTGCAGTGTCTCGCGCACCGTGAGGCTGCTCAGCAGCGTGTCGTTCTGCGGGAGAGGGAGCGTCAGCGTGGCCCGAGCCCCGCGCGGCCGGGCGGCAGGGTTGGGTGGGCGCCCACCTGCAAGACGTAGGAGAAGCAGTCCTGGAACTGCTCCCTGCGCAGCGCCTGGCCGTTGACACAGACCTCCCCGAGGAAGGTCCCCTTGTGCTGCAGCCTCCCGGACATGGCGTCTAGCAGCGTGGTTTTCCCCGAGCCTGGGGGGCGACAAGAGAAGGCCCTGGAGGAGTCCCCAGGGAGGACATTGGGGAACTTCCCGATACCTCTGTGGAGGCGTGACCCCGGGTTCCAGCCTTGGACCTCATGTGTCAAACTCCCTTGGCACCAATGAGAGTCTCCAGTTTGTCCCCTGAGAGGGGAACAAGCCATTTCTCTCATGCGGATCAGGACTGACAGTGCTTTGACTGCCTGCTTATTTGCTTTTTAAATTGTTTGGGGCTGAAAAAGAAAATACCTATAAGATCAGAATAAAAGAAAAGCCAGGGCTCTTGGAAACGTTTGGATCCTAGGACATCTGAATTTCTTTTTGTGCTCCTCTAGGATTGTCTGGCTGTACCTGAATGTAGGTGGAATTGCCTAGAGTCTTGCTAACAAAGTGTGGTCTGAGGACCAGCAGTATCAGCATCGCCTAAGAGCTTGTCAGAAATGCAGACTCTCAGGCCCCTCTGTGGACCTGCTGAGTCAGATTCTGCTTTTCTACAAGATCCCGGGGAAATTTGTGTGCAGACCAGAGTCTGAGAAGCAGACTTTTCTTTTGGGAAAACCAAGTTGGCCTCAGCCTGCACTGGCGTAACCCAGCTAGTTGGCCCTGAGAACATTTCCACAGAGGAGTTGCAGGGAATGAACTGCCTGGCGCTGGAGGTGACTGGAGGACAAGGTTTCCCCTGGTTTGCTTTTGTCTAGGGTTAGAGGTTAGCTGATGCCATTAGGATAAGAATCCAGCTGGCCCCTCAGTCATATTGGACATGAATCTCAACATGGGCCCGAGAGTAATGGAGGCAGAACAGACCACCCAAGACTGTGAAGAAGTTGGAATTAATAACAGAGGAAATAGGCAGGAGGTTCTGAGAAGATAGCAAGAGAATTCTACAGAAGATGTGATGGCTTGTGCAAAACCAAAAATAAGATCTTTCATTCAAATACTTTTAAAAAGCTGCTTGTTGCCCTGAGGGGTGCAGAGATGAGCTGGCTCTGGCAGCAGCTGTCTTCTCTAACCTGTGCCTGACGAAGCTCAGAATTAGCCCCAGCATGCCCAGGTAGAGGTCAGGGTGGAGAAGAAAGAGAACGTGATTATAAAGAATTGAAATGTGACTTCATCAAGGTGTCTTTCGAAACATGGCCTGTAATTCCCCAGTCATGATCCTAGGCTTTGGGTGTGGTTCTTCTAAGCAGAGCCCCCTGGCCTTCCACTTCTGGGATCCAATTTCCATTCTGACAGAAGCTCAAAATATCCTGCAGCCTAGATTCCAGTCCCACCACTTCATCAAAACTGGCCTCCCCGAGGGCATCAAGGCTACTTTCTGTTGCCAAATCCAGTGGCTACTTCTCTGTGCGCTGTGGACGGCTCCTCAGCAGCATTTGATACTGTTGCCTGCCCTTCTCTGTAAGTCTCTCTCCCTTGGCTTTGATGCCTCCACGGCCTCTTGGTTTACATCCTACCTGTGTGGCTGCTGCTTCCAGCCTCCTGTGGGTGATCACAGGGTTTTCTCCTGGGCCATCTGCTCTTCCCGTGTCACAAGTTCTCACAGTGAGTGCCAACTTGCTATAGAGCATGGAAAGTAGCCACCTTGGAAGTAGATTCTCCAGCCCCACCCAAGCCTTCAGATGGCCGTAGCCCCAGTGACATCTGGCTACCGCCTCATGAGAGACCCCAAGACAGAAGTGCACAACCAAATCACTTCCAGATGTCTGACCCATAGAAACCCTGAGAGATAATAAATGACGTTTTTGTTGTTTCAAGCCACTAAGTTTTTGACACATTTTTTAAATATAGAAATAACTGATTCAGGGTTTTTTCCCCGAATACGTGTCAAATATTTATTAACTCATTAATGAGGGAACAGCAGGATGACAAGGCTCATTTGAAAAAAGGATATGAGAAACGGAAAGGTATATAGTCAGTGGAGAAAAGGTTAGAATAAGATAGCAAAGTTGGATACAAAAACAGTTAATGCCCTCCAGGGTGATAAAACCATGACCTTTGGGGTTATCTTCTCTAGTAGGACAGAAATCATTTGAAACTAAATAATCTGCAAGGAAGCATCCAGCCCAGAGTCTTGGCATAATCGATAGCAAATAGTGAGCTAAAGAAGCTGGCCTTCCACTGGAGTGTCAGGTGGCCCTGGGTGTGCTTGCTTTAGACCACACTCTAGTGAGACTTTGAACATGTAAGTCATCTTTTGCCTTTCTAATAAAGATTTGATAGACACTTATCTGCTTGAGATAAGACACCAAGGAAATCATGTCACTTTTATGAAACACTATAAATACTAATAAATACTAATCTATGATGAATTCATAGATTAATTTTTTTCTCATTTATTCAACAAATATTTATTAAACACCTACTATATGGCCAACCCTATTCTAGGTGTTAAGGATACAGTAGGAGAAAGTCCCTGCCCTTGTGGAACTTGCATTCTACCATGGATTCATATTCAGTATGAAAGATAGACACTGTCACAAAATCATGATTAGGTGTATCATCAGAAACCAGTCCTCATCCCCAGATCAAGAGCCCCACCAACTGTCCTGCTGAGATGCACTCGAAGCATGACATTGGCCTGTGGGACATACTTCTGAGAAGGTGGCTTCAATTCCTTCTTGTCCTTAGAAGTGAGGAACTCTTCTGAGAAAGATGCTACACACCAATACTTTTATATTCTACATGAGGAATGCAACAGGTGACAGATTATTATAGGGATGGCTCAATTTTTTTTTCTTTTTAAAGGAGAACATTATATTTATCAAAAGGAAAATTGGAATGATCTTGGATGTTATGGCACATTTGTATAGTTAGAAATTGTTGGGCCAGCCCCGTGGAGCACTTGGCAGAGTGCGGCACTGGGAGCGCAGCGACGCTCCCACCGCGGGTTCGGATCCTATATAGGGATGGCCGGTGCACTCACTGGCTGAGCGTGGTGTGGGTGACACCAAGCCATGGGTTGCGATCCCCTTACCGGTCACAAAAAAAAAAAAAAAGAAATTGTTAAGAAATGGAAATAAGAACTGACAGGAAACGTCAGAAAAGTTTAGCAGATTTAGTTAGTGCTATGGTCTACATATTTATATCCCCTCCCTCCCAATTCATATGTTGAAATCCTCACCCCCAAGATGATGGTATTAGGAGGTGGTATTGGAAGGTGATTAGGTTATGGGGGGAAGCCCTCATGATTGGGATTAGTGCCCTTATAAAAGAGGCTTGAGAGAGACCCCTCACCCCTTTCACCATGTGAGGTTAGGGTGAGAAAATAGCTGTCTGGGAGAAAGCCGGCCCTCACCAGACACTGAATCTGCCAGCCCTTTGATCTTGGACTTCCCAGCCTCTAGAACTGTGAGAAATAATTGTTGTTTATATGCCACCCAGTCTATGTTATTGTGTTATGGCAGCCCCAATGGACTAAGACAGTCAGTGGATTCCTTTTGATTTAATCTTAACAACACTACCATTACCATACGATTGTGCACCTGCTGTAGCAGATGAGTGGTTATAGATTTAACTCCCTCAGTTCTGAAGAGGCTGACCATACCTAACTTTTATCATAGGCTTACATTCTCCATCTCCATTAAAGGGAATGTCAGTAAATGTCAACAATTTGCAAACAACAGCTCAAGGAAGAGACTTCTGAGAAGCCAATTTGTCAGAATATTTTAACCTTAAAATGTGCAACATGACACAGTGTAGTGGACACTGTGGTGTGCCACACAGATCCCCTCTTTAGGGCCAATGCACCCATGCACCCATCCACCTCTTACCACCACCACCACCCCACCCCCCAGCTGCTAGGAATGTCAGCTGCTGAGGACTCATACTGTGACCTCACCAGGGCATGGCTCTCAGAATAAAGAGCTTCCTCACTATAGGCCACACCTTCCCAGGGCCCGATGCTGGGACATAAAGACTGGCTGATGCTGGGACACAAAGACAAACACCAAATTCAGGCTCAAATGTAGTCACCCCTGGAATGGCATGGGGAATGGCACATAGATGGCCTCAGTACAATCTGTAATGTTTAATTCCTAAAAAAAAAGATCTGAAGCAAATACTATATAATGTTAAGATTTGATAAGTCCTGATGTTAACACATGAACATTTCTATGTTATTCTCCATTTTTGATTGTATGGCTGAAATAGATCATAATAAAAAGGGACCAATGAAATCAACTAGTGGGTCTAAATGGGCATTTTTGTTTATTGAATTCCTTTTCCTATCTATAAGCGGATAGGGGAAATTGTGTTTACTGAGCATCCCCATATGCCAGGCACCGTGCTGGGGCCTTTCCATACTTTGAAATATGAATTCTCTTACCTTTTGGGCAGGACTTTATACTCTTTCAAGAATCTTTCTAAAGATTTTACATTAACACCAGGTTCCATTCACAGTCAAACGTGCCATTAGATTTCATTCTAATATCAAACTGTGGCCTTTGTGCTACAAGTTAAACCTCTTTCTTCAATGTGGTGTTTAAATCAAGTCAAGGCCTTTTCAGATCCTCAGTGAGCACATAGATAAATCCTTCCCCAGCTTACCTGAGCTCCCTAAGATGCACATGATCTGCCCGCTCTCGATGTACAAGGAGATGTCTTTGAGGATCTGCCTGTTCCACCGCTGCTGGTAAGATCTGATGTCCCACCAGGGCCCGACGTGATTGCTTTAAAGGAAACCCCATGAAGGCAAAGGCAGCATGGCATCCCGGGAGGGGCCAGGCCCTGTCCCGCAGCACTGACCCCAGCTCTGCCCCACCCCAGTTGTCTCTGTGTTTCAGTCTCAATGGCCTCCCCTGCAGAACCTGGTGGGGGAGTGACCGAAGTGATCTGCCACCTAGGGAAAGGGCCTGCACAGCAGCTGCTCTGAATGTCGGGTTGCTGTCTGGCTGGGAGATGACAAACAGGACACTGTTCATTCCTTAGCTCGACCAGGCTTCATTACCCCTCATGTTCCCAGCACCCCTGTCCCCAAGCCCTGTATACCCACACAGGGCAGGCCCTGGATGTGGGGTGGGCAGCGGGAGGGGTAAGAGGCAGGGGCAGGAGCAGGTGCTGCTGCCTCGCTTTTCATGCCCAGGCCCTGCCCTGTGCAGAAGGAGGCGCCATTCACTGTTTCTCCTCATTTCCCAGTGGCAGCTCTTCACTTCACCCCTCTCCACCCCGATCCACTGAAGAGGGAGCCCAAAGCCCCCAGCATGCCCCCACTAGTGAGGAAAGGCAGCTGAGGGGTGCAAGCCCAGCTTCATGCTCCAAGCAGGGGAGAGAAGCTCAGAATCTGCCTTACCTGACGCTGTAGGAGGCATGGAGGACACCCAGGCTGTGCCGAGGCTCTGCAGCAGCTGCAGGAACTTCCTCTGGGGAGCTCTGGAAGCCTCTGTTTACTTTGAGTCCCCAGAACCCCCCAAAGGTGAAAGCCGAGAGGTCGCTACTCATAGTCAACAGGCAGCAAGACGGGCGAGTTGTCTGGTGGCCTGACCCTCCTTAGAGTGGCTTCAGCTGAGGAGCTGGGGGCAGACTGCCCCACCTGTTCCTTGCCTGGCCCTGAAATCCCTCGTGGGGCCCTCCCAGCAGCAGGACTGGAATCAGGCCACCAATGCCATTATCTGATGGACCTTTAGCCAGGGCGTCCTTATCTTGACAGTGGGTAGAATACATGGTGTTCGTAGGAGGGTTTCCAGAGAGGAACTCTGGGAGAGAGACTGGCACAGAGGAGGGCGAGGTTGCCCGGCCCTAGGAAGCAGAGAGAGGCCACACTGGCAGTGGCAGGTAGCCGCTGAGGTCCAAAGGAGCTGCAGCCCAGGGGCTCAGACGTCGCGGACTCCATGGCTGAGAAGGCCACAGAGGAGAAGGGGCTGTGGAGAGGGGCTGCTCCCCAGGATGACTTGGTGAGTGTCGGGAGCCGCCTCAGGCCTGTGGCTGCAATATCGGTCCTTTCTTTCCTCCCGTAGGTGCTTTCTGTCCTAGCTCACCACCTGGACAACAAACAGACTGAGGAAATGGCCACAGAACTGCATTTCCAGGGTGTCCAAGGGCTGAGGGGAGCAGAGGCCAGGCCGGAGGCCGCCGAGGCCACTTTCTGCCCAAGGCACACCCCTACAGGGAAATGAGGGTCTCTTTTGTGACTCAGGCTGATGTAGCTTTTTCCAAATGAGACTCCGCCACAGAAACATGCTCACACATACCAGGGATTCTGCAGGTATCTTCTTTGTCAATGTGGCTGTCAGGCTAAGAATCTCAGTGGCATAAGGTGGTGGATGAAATAAGATGGCAGAGGACTCTTGTGGGAACGTCAGAATTTATGCTCAGAATATGTCTCCAGCAGGCAATGGTAAGATCTGGGAGATATGGGAAGGAATGGATGGCAGCCAGGTGGCCAAGAGGTGAGGTACACGTTTTCTCCTTCATTTTACCTGAGAAACGTTTACTTGAGAAATGGCCTTTGGCTGAAATCAGGTTGTGGCAGGATTTGAAGCAGGAGCCTAACCTGGAAGACAGAGGCAAGCAGACCCCCACCTCCACCTCCGCTGCCGCCCAGCCCACCCTTCTGTCTGCCTGTGGTGGGAAGGAGGGGGGAGGAAAGATGAGACGGACTGTGGACTCCACACCCAGCACGGAAGGCCACAGGCCACCCAGGCTGGCCCTGAGTCCCTAGGGCTTGACTCAGCTGGCCCGAGGATGCCACCATTTCTAGTCAGCTCTGCAGCCACAGCAGATGACAAGCTCTGCTCTCTGAACACCCTATGGGGACAACCCCTGCGAGGAAAGGTTGCAGTCCAAATGGGACATACACTAGTGGTGGCTTTGGGGACACTTTCTTCCTGGAAGATCTGATGATTCAGCCTTCACAGCTTGGGAGGCAAAGAACTGACCAAACCCCACATCCTGAAAGAAATGTGTGCAGGCCCTGCCATTTCTGATTTCCATTTCCCCAACCCTGTTACTCCAGGTGCCAAGAGATGGTCTGCCCCTAACATTTGTGGGGCTTGGAATCAGAGGATGAGGGCCACATAACCTATGGCTAGGTATTTAATTAGCCAAGCAAAGAACTGTTAAATAAACTAGTTTCTATCCTCTTAACTTCACATACCTTCCTCACAACCTGATAAGCCAGGTGTAAATTTAGAAATTCTAAGGTTTCTTGGAACAGCAGCTAAAACGTGGTGGTGTGGGGGAACTGGCTTCCTGCTGAAGCCACAGCCTGTCCCCCTTCTCTGCTCTATCCCAGTCCACAAGGGCGGAGATGCACGCAGGCCCTGGGAGTGGGCCTGGGGCTGTTTGCACAGGGAATTCTGGCATCTGGGGTACCCTTGGCCCACATTTAAGGTCAGAGGAGGATGAGAGAGGCCAGACCTCAGGGTAGAGCTGTGTGAGACCTAATCTGAATGTTTCAATAAAGGCCCAGGAGTGTCCCTTCAGCCAGGAACAAATCCTGGGTGTCCCCACCCAGCTCCAAGTCCTCGCACATCACTGCCTCCCCCGGCACAGGCTCTTCATCTCAGAACAAGGAAGGTGCGCTCGGTGCTCCCTGAGTTTCCTTCCCATCTGTGCTTCTGACTCAGAAATTTGATCAGAAGTTAATAGGAGGAGAAATTACAATGTAGCCCAGCAGGAGCTGAGCTGGTTACCTACAAATAAACCTGCTTTTGCTTTTTTGGGTGTCACTTGTCAGAAATTCAAGTGATGTTCTGACAGTCATACTGATTAAGATGTCAGCCGAATAGATATTTAAGTATTTGAAAAATACAGAGAGTTTGTCAAAACCTCAGGAAGAGTCTAACAAATCCTTTCTGGGAGCTAAGGAAAATATTTAAAAATGGAACAGAGGTCGTCCCCAACCCAATCATGTATCTTCTTCTGAAAGTTGAGCTTCCTGTGCAAAATCCCTCCATGGAGCTTGGGGTCCTGGGCTGGCTGCCGCCTGCCTACCTAGCCTTGGGGGATGGGGACCTAGGGCGAACCTCAGAGAAAGGAGCTGTGCACCTGTCCTTTTCTTACCTGTCTTTCCTCCTGCTGCCTCTTCCTCCTGGGTCGTAGGGCCCTCCCCCTTCTCAAAGCACAGCACAGTGGGACCCATCTGGGCTGGAGGCCACCCCCACACATTGCTCCAGACTCCACATCTTCCTCAGCAGCTCCTCCAGCCCTGAATCCAACCTGGGAGCTTTTAGCCAGCAGGAGCAATTTCTGAGCTAATTCACATCCGACACTAATTGACTATTATCCCTCCTGCAGATGTTTGCTTTAAAAACAGCAACAATGACAACAGAGTGCATGTTAGACCAAATGTGACTCTCAGCAATTGACAGTTTCTGATAGTTTAGCAAAATAAAATGGATAACCGGGCAGTGCGTGTGGAGGTGGGGAGTGAGGGTCAGGCTGCAGGGCTGAACTGCCAGAGTCCAGCGGCTGCCTGAGCTGCTCGTGATCTCCATAGAAGCTTCATCGTCCATCTCAGAGGCCACAGACCCTCTCATGTCTTCCACTCTCACCTCTCCCTCCTGCTCTGGGGCCACTGGCAGCTGGGAGTTGAGGTGGGTGTAGAAATCTGGAATTCAGGGCGAGCGCTCTCGATTTGAAAATATATTCTGAAATATTTCAAACAAATCAGCTTGAAGAAGAGTGAACTCCCATGTACCCACCACTAATTACCAATAGCTTTCAGGACTGCTCCCTTCCGTCCCCTACTTGGACCCTTCTCTTTTATGTCTCTCACAGAGACAACCCCTCTCCTATATTAGGTGTTTATCTTTCCCATGTTGTTACTATATAATTTTGGATCTTTATGGCAATAGTCCAAACATGAAACAGTATAAGTAGCTTTGGCCTGCTGTTCACACACTCTCACGGAACCGGGGGCTGCTCACAGTAGGTCTGCAGCAGGCTGTCCCCTGTATTTATTTCTCTCCACCTCCATTGGTCTGCAATGTCCTTTCCCAGGACCTCTTACCTCTGCCATTGCAAGGGTACTTTGACAAAGAGACTGTCAGCCGGAACCGGGGGCTGCTCACAGTAGGTCTGCAGCAGGCTGTCCCCTGTATTTATTTCTCTCCACCTCCATTGGTCTGCAACGTCCTTTCCCAGGACCTCTTACCTCTGCCATTGCAAGGGTACTTTGACAAAGAGACTGTCAGATGTTATTTTTGCATAAGTCATGAGTCATGTTATTGTCACCCATGGCACATGTGTGCATGGTGTGCACGGTGAACATATACCCTGGTCAGTTGCTTGAGGTCAGCCTGCTGCTAGGCCTGGCCTGTCCCACTCCAACCTAATCACCTGTCCCTACCACTGAAATGCAAGCTTTTCACAGGTTGTCTTTGTCACTGTCACCTCTCACACTCAAACCTGAAGCATGTTGTCATATACCCTGGTCAGTTGCTTGAGGTCAGCCTGCTGCTAGGCCTGGCCTGTCCCACTCCAACCTAATCACCTGTCCCTACCACTGAAATGTAAGCTTTTCACAGGTTGTCTTTGTCACTGTCACCTCTCACACTCAAACCTGAAGCATGTTGTGGGCTTGCAATAAGTTTGTTGGATGCTTGACTGATTGAAAGAGCACATCCATATGAGATCAGCAGCTCGGAGGGAAGAAGCCTGGAGGCCACAGGAACTCGTTCGTGGACACATACTTGCTCTTGCAGTGCAGAAGCAGAAGAAAAATTGAATGCATTAAAGAACGAAAACCTTACCAGTCAAGGTCTTCCTTTGTGGGGGCCTCCGTTATTTAAATGATTGAATTGATAAAACAGAAGGAATTCACATCTGCCAATGGTTAATACCGTTCAAAAGTGTCAGCTGATCCCATGAAACAGGACATTCAAACATACCACCCCCTCAGCAATAACATCACGATGATGATGATGGTAGGGACGGCCTCGGAAATCTCCCCACAGCATTTTCGCTGGCTTTATTGTGTAAAACTCAGCAAAATAAGAGGTGACTTTTCTCAGGATGGTGTCTTCACAAATATTGAATACTGAATATCAATATTAACTTGTTGATAGCCGTTTTCCTCTCACATGCTGTGATGTGATGTCTGTTTGGCATTAGAAGCTACTAAGCCAGATGCAGGGATGAGAAAGTTAAACGCCACAGGTTCGCCCAGAACTCAGGTCTACCCAGAGCCCAGAGGCCCACAAAGATCTCTCAAGCTCCAAGTCTGGGTCTCAGTCACCATAAGCTGCATGAGTTCCGGCTCCGCAGGCCTGAGGTTGAGATTGTCTGGCACAGGAGCTGTACTGGGAGAAGCCCCCCAAGCTCTCTCCGAAGGGAAGAGGAGATGTGCCCTTATCGATACTCCTATTTTCTCAAAGCCCTTGCGTCCCACCTGCACAAGCCCCTGTCTTGCCAATTTGGGATCTCAACTATGTTAGCTGCTGCTCTCCCCTCTCAGGTCTCTTCCTTCTGTCTTGTCTTATGTCTTCAGTGGCTTCTGAAGGAGCCCCTCACCTGTCATGTCTCCCAGCAGGGTCTCCAGGACAGCTTGTTCTCCTCTGAAAGTGACAACAGCCTGTACTTCACCTACAGTGGCCA